CCTAATGCTTAGAACAGGATAAATGTTTGGTCAAGGCAGCCGTATAATGTAGATATAGTCCAATGAAGAGGGTCCCAATTTTCTTTTCAGTTATTTTGAGTCAAACACAAGAGATTGTCAGCTGATGAATGCAGAGACAGGAAGTAAACGCCTCCTTTTCCTTACCACTTACTGCACTGAACTGACAATTATCTACATTGTGGGTTTTTGCTTGCCTGCTTGTTTTTCTGTTTCCTCTAGAGAATCATTGCTGAAGGGTGGAACATTAGTGCTGTGCTCACTGTGAACCTAGAATTCACCAGTGCAGTAAAATTAATTTGGAAGAGTACACAGCCACCACAGGGCTGGAAGAAGCCTAGCTTGTTAAGCTACTTTCCACAAAGGCTCCTGAAGGGCTTTCAAGATCAAAAGAAAGCCCTGACCACACTGAAGAAGATAAGTTTAATTACACCCAGAGACAAGAGGCCTGTCCTCAAGTTCTTACTCCAGTAAGTGATCTTTGCTAACAATAATGATCCTACTGAGTACCTTCAACCCATCATGTGAATAAAGATTACACAGGTGAGTTAAAGTTAGCAAGACTTGGCCGCTATGTTTGTTCGCTTGCATGTAATAATGTTCTTATTAGCCATATTTTCTGTTGTCTTCCTTATTTTTTTCATTGATGTTAATGAGAAAGAGAATAAAGAGTGATGTAACCATGATGGTCCAGAAAATATGCAAGGCAAAGGTTTATCCCACCTACATAGCTGGTCCACTAAAAGTTATCACCCTAAGAAATCCTTGCCTTAAAGAGAATATATTAATTGCCCAGTTTTGTTTGGAGGCCTTTTGTCTGTCACATTTATTTGTCAGTTTCTTTCTGTGTAAATTTGAAACATACTAGCATTTCCGCAGTTAATTCACTGTAAACCAATCTAGCAGTATTATTTCAAAATCTCCCAGCTGGATTAGTGGGAATATATAAAAATAAAGGGGAGAAAAAAAAGTATGGGATAACTTTTATGCATTAAAAATCACTGCCTTTTGATAAGAAAATGGAGGTAGCATGTTTTCAGTCATGACAAAACTATACACAAGATCTTGATATACTTGTAAAAAGCAAAAATAACAAATAAAGAGCAGAAACAGAGAACTGATCTAGAATTTTCAGAACAGACTTAGCTTTTAAAACTATCAGTGTCCTAATGTTTCAGTCCTTCACAAAGACCAAACCATGCAACTGACCTGCACTTCCACCTCTAATCAAGTTCAGCAGCAGTTCTACAACCAAAACAACTTCAAGATATTTTCAAAAGTGGGAGGCATTCTTAATGCCCTGCTAATTATGGACTACATCCTACAGACTTCAAGTAAAACTACTATTTTCAGTATTGAAAGTTTTTTTCTGGGTAATGATACAGGGTTTGTTAAAAAATAAGTAGATTACAAAAGATCCTCTCCACCTTTCAAAAGAACTCTTAATATCATTTGCATATAGTACTGTAATAATTGCATAGTACTGTAATAATATATAGTATCCAATATTTGGGGCTAGGGCTTGCATTGATTTATGCAGTTCATGAATATGCACACTAGGTGAAATTCACATTTGACGGAGGGACAAAGCCTTATGCACTAAGGGAAGTGTTAAATCATGCTAATTACATGCTTTCCCTCTGCACAGATGGGAATTTCATCTATAGTAACACTTGTACCCTACTTTTCTATCTGAGGCTAGAAGCAGACATTTTATTGGTCCTGGAACCAGTTATGCCTGTGTTTCTCCTGAAATAAAACAGGCCCAGGATTGGTGTGTATACAAAATACCCTTTCAATTGGGGTTTAGGGAACAGCTGAATGACCTGCCACTTTTCTGCCATCGATTCAATGATGCAACGTTGGGACAACCATTGAGACACGCTTCACAATGTCCTGGGACAAACTATTAGCACTTTTCATACCGTGAACCTTTTTAGGGTTTGTCCCAGGACAGACGTGGGCATCTGGACTACCGCACTTTGTCTTGAAAGAAAATAGTTTCTCCTGAGACACGCAACATCTACTTGTATCCTCAATGGTACAGGCATGGCAAGGTCATTCATAACCCAGCATGTTTGCACATGGCATGCTTTGCCTAACCCCTGCTTAAGTTGTTGCTTCTAGATAAACATGACCAATGGAAGCAGAATCAAACAAGGAGTGTGAATATATCTGGACGGAGCTAAGAATACATGCCTCGCATCAGGACCAAACACTGTTCTCTCAACCTGACAGCAATGGAAAAAATACTCTATTTTCACAAACTGATAGCGGAACTTAGACAAATGCTGTAACATCTGTGCTTAGAATATGAAACAGGGACATTATTTATTTCAGTTCCCTTACAAGGGTATGGGGTGCTTCAACACATATACTGATATATATACTAAATTCCTTTTTCACTGATTGCAGTATACAAAGATTTTTTTAATGGGTTTTTTATATTACTTTTTTCCTAAACAGGAGTAAAATCCTTTCATTCTCTTTGATATTTTAAGTATCTAACTGTTTAAATAAAATGACTGTCCTATAATATGATGGTTCGGGATTTATTTTCGAGTAAGCTAAAGCTTTGGATTGTTGAATTCTTGTAATCTTCATTCTTCTGTTTTAATTTTCAAAAGTACCAAGTTTTAAAGAAAATAGAATACTTTTCATAATGATTCAGAGAGGTTATAAAGATATATAGTCATTCAAAGCAATCCCCATTTTCACTGTAATATTGACATTTGACTTAAAGTAGTCTCCTTCTTTTAAATTTCCCCTTTTACATGCAAAGAAAAAAGTTAAATGCATACTGCAAAGCTTTGAGACAAATAAAATATTGCTTAAACACTCAGTTTTAAACACCATATGGACCGGATTTAGAAACCTATCAGCAAACAGTCGCAGGGATACAATTGTGCAGGCTTCACCGATATGCACAAATACCCAAAATGCACACATGCTTTTGATAACTGCACAAGTGCTAACAATTGTCTAACTGACCATGGGTATGCAATCCAATTTGCAGGCATGTATTTTGTGCCTGAGTCCATAAATTAGACACCTGCCTTCATTTGAAAATCTGCCTCTCTATGCATAGACTCAACTGAACATACATGCATACAAAAGTGGATCTTCTGAAAATCAATTCCCCCTGCATTTCCCTGCCTGAGTTCAAGATCTTTCTTTTTTCCTGCCTTCACTAACACCTAAAGCAGTAGTTCCCATATTAATTTAAGTGTTAAATGATTTCAAGAGCTCTAGCAGGGGAAGTATAGATTCCTTAACTCAGGCTGCAGGAAGCAAGTGAAGGAAGAACTGATTTTCACATATGTTGTTATAAAAATGAAATATATGTCCAGTATTTTAAACTCTATTTTAAATAGGATTAGCACTAGCAAAACATGCTGGATTGTCATCCCAGAGACTGAAATTCTTTGTTTATCCATTTCCCAGGCACAGTACAAGCCATGGTATGAGCAACACCAGTATTCCTGAACCCTAACTTGGAGGAATTACATTAATCTTTGGCCTGACTGCTATGACTGCCAATAAGGGTGTCAATGTGATTACAGGTCTTGGATGTGGTCACCTGTCCATTACAAACTGGACACAAGCCACCAATTCATTTTACATAAGCCATTAATCAGCAACCAGACACTAATGACTTTTGGTCCATAACAAAATAAACTGGATTTGAACTGATAATCCTAAAGTGATAATCTCCAAATTCCATTACACATATGCTTACGCTTTAAAAATGCAAATGTTATTAGCCTTTGCAATTTACTTTTAAAATAAAAAGAACTAAACATATTGATTAATGTAAAATGTTACTGCACGTGTAAATAGCTCCATCCAAAATTTCTGCATACAATACCATAAAAGGGGAAGAGAACAGGCACACACACAAAAAAATACCAGGGGAGGGGAGGGAGTGGGGGGAGGATAATTAACATATTTTTAAAAACAAGTATTTAAACAAAATATTTATAGTACAAGAAACAATCCATTTATTGTTGTGAAAATACATTCCTCAATGATCCTCTGAAAGCATCATAACATCCCTGTGTGAGAGAAGGGAATGGTTGCTGTTTTATTCTATGGGGATAACATAGTACAGGCAGTAAGGATGCTATAATCCTGAACTGGAACCCTAATCATCGTTAAAAAATAAATATTTTTCACAGGACTCTAACAGAAAGGATGCTTAACACATAGTTGCTCGTGCTGCACTTTGGATCAAATAAATGTTTGAGGCAAACTGGCTGACCACAGTTAACCAGTTCCTGAAAGAAAGAATAGCACAATGATGCTACTGGCATCTCCTTCTACAAAGGAAAAACATTTTTTTTTTAGATTATTTTTTAGCTCTTGGTTAAATCAATTTAAAATGTTTACAATTTGAAAATATTCTGAAATCTGAATAAAGCACAAGCTGCGTCCTCTCTCTCTCTGGCTTTTCCGTTTACCCCCCTTGTGTGGCTAGAAGATGTCTGTGTGCTTAATGTAAGCTGTGTGATTTGGGACCAATATATCCTTTTGGAGCTGATTTGGTGATCAGGAATAATAAAATACACTGTACAGCCTAGGATAAAAAAAAAGAACAAAAAACTGAGCTAAGTCAACAGGGTCAGACTATGAATGTTGTAGTTTGGAAATTATTAATATTGTTTAGTTTATGTGGAAGGCACTCAAATACAATGGTGGTGGACAGTCTTAAAGAAGTTTTAGCCAGATAAAAGGACCTCCACTGTATCAATTTAACCAAGGCATTCTGAATTTTCCCCCTTTTCCAAAACTCAGCAATGGAGAACTGGACAACCTATAATAAACAGTTATCCCAATGGTTTGTGAGATAAGATGCCTGAAGCTCTGAAAACCTCATTGCCAGGAGAGGTCAACAGCTGGGAGTGCTTGCTGTGAGGCTGGACCATACGGTTCAGTAAGGTTCTGCAGCTTAAAACAGCTTTATTTGGAAAAGTGGCCCTTACCTTTGGCAATCAGCTCCTCCAGTTCTTGGTCAAATCCTTGTCGGTGGCATTTTCTCCAGAGCCCCATGTTCGTCGAGTTATACTGTCTGTTGCACTCATCAGCTGCACTCATAGCAAAGAGCTGCCTCCTGTTTCTTGCCAAGAGGAGTTTCCCTTCCCAGCGGTCCAACCTAGACCTGCTGGCCCTGAGAGGCAGGTTATTGTTGGAGTTATAAATGAAGCCAGGGTCGTTTCTCTTAGTAGTGATGGTTTTGCACCTCTCCCTGTGCTTCCTGGCATCAGTTTCATACCAGTGGTCAGAGCAAATTGCCACAGCCAGCATGCCCAGGGCACACAAAGCTAAAGAGAGGCCAGCATAGAGCAGCAACCTTCCAGCAGCCATACCTCAGCTTCACAGAAACACCATGGACATCTTCACAAAAGGGAAAGCCCTTCAATGGGAGAGCACACAAATCCTCCAGGAGCAGCTGCAGGATGTCACTGGACAGAGTCCGCCTTAAATGTCAACAACTGTGGTTCACATCCAAGTGGCTGAAGACACTAAAAGCTCAAAAAAGTTCTGCCCTGGAGAGAGTCCTGGGCCCTCATGTGTCTCTCTTGAGGTTCAAGTCTTTCAGTGCAGGGCATGCAAGGAGGATACCAGGCAACAGTAAAACAGCTGGGAGCCCAGTGAATCACCTACAGAGGTGTCTGCTCCGTGCATGCACACAAAAGTTAACTGTGGTTGGGGAATAGTCACTTGAAGTGATTTGAAGGCTATGGCTGTGCATTCAGTCCATTGAGTTCATTCGATCTGGCTAGCTCAGAGATACAGAAGGATGGCTTTAATATCAGCAAGTTAACTATCACATCACAAGAGCACAGGACAGAAGAGGAAAGTTCGGTGGCCAGAAATCTTCTGATTTCAAGCAGCCAATTATCCTGATTTCAAAAATCCATGATTTGCCTTTTCTTTGTCAGTAGCTCAGAAAGAACATCATCTGGTAGGCTGGTTTTTTTGAAAGCAGGGTCGAGAGGAAAAATGGGTGGTGGATGCTTTAAATTCAATCCTGGGTTTAAAAAAAAAAATCTTTCTGGGTCTAATAAGAAATTCAGGCTTGCGGGGGCCTTTCCATTAAGCAGACTTGGTGGAGATTTGCAGCAAATAACATCTTTGTTTCAAGAACACTTCTCCTTCTCTCCCAGCTGTGCTGCTCGCAAGGTTTGTTTTGTTGTCTCTGCTGTCATCAAGGCAACCTAATGCTAACAATTTCTTCCCTTGACTTGCTAAAGCTCAAGTGTACCAAATTACTAACAGAACTGGTTCTGCTCTCTCATCTAAAGTAACGCAGCAACCTCTCTGGTCCTCAGTAGGAGTGTGAAGCAGCTGAAAGGTGGGGGTTGGAGGAGATGCAGGATTCACCACCATGGATTGAGCCTGTGCCGGTTAGGCAGCAAATAAAGCAGTCCTAGAGCCCAGCATCTTTGTGTGGCTTTTTTCCTCCCTTCTGTTATTGCAAAGCTTCCTTTTTCACCACAGCTTCAGTTTCTCGGGCGAGGTTCTCTTAGCCACACAGGCACATTTCCCATCTGCAAAATGAAGGCAAGCAGGCAGGGCTACAGCTGATTAAAAGGATGGTAAGGGAGGGGGGGGAAAAACCCCAACCAATCTAATAGGGGAGGGGGAACAGCCTCTAACAGTTGTCAACAGCTTTCAGTCTGCACCATTTCTCTGACATATGGCCTGATCGCCACATAGAAGCCGAGATCTCTAGCTCAGCAGCTTCATGCAATTCATATCCCCAGCATCAGCAGATATATATTCAGACATTTTTTTTTCCTTAAATTTCCATGCCCTGTCTCTCTAACGGGAATAACTCACCCATCTTGCAGAGGTCAGGAGAAACAGAAAGGAAGCTGGAGTCCACGAGCTTTAGAAATCTCATTTCACCGTTTTTAACCCAAATAAGAATGAATCCAACCTTCTGTACACCTGGGAATCTTTCCTTGTTCAAACACTGAGCCCTGCAGCCTTGGCTAAAGCCTACAGACACAGAATACAGAGCACTGAGCCAAAAGCCAGTGATGTCACCCATGCAACGTGAGACTCATTTCTTATTTCTCTAGCCTCCTTAAAGATAAACTGCACCACTTCACAGACAGGAAATGTCTAAGTCTTACTTTCTTAAAAGGGGAAACAGGTAAAACCTGGATCTACCTGAATCCTTATGGATCCTGCTGATTGTTACTCCATGCCCCCAAATCTCATCACTAAAATACAAAACAAGTGTAGCTGTTTCCTACTGCACTAAAAAGTATGACCTCTGATATCTCCCAGGATATGAGCTTCGCACAAAAAAACCCCAAACAAAACAAAAGAACAAACAAACAAAAAACAGCACCTGTGGGAGCATCAAATTTTGGCCTCTATGCATCCAAATTGTCATGTTCAAAAAGAAAAATAAAGTATGGTCACTTCTACTGCATCAAAGCATTTTGGACCATGGCATATCTTAGAACCTGAACATCACAAAATCCAGGATCTGGCATATGGATCCAGTAAGCTCCATCCAATTTTTGGCCCTGACCCAACAAATTTCATGACATGAATATAAAACAAGTATAGACACTCCTACTGCACCAAAAATCCAGACCTAGATACATCTAAGAGCACAAGCACTGCTAAATTTTGGATCCACATGGATCCTTGCAACTCTTGGCCCCCACAACCCAAATTGTATAATCTAAAGAGAAAACAAGTGCAGCCACTCTTAACTAGAAGGACTGGGAATCCATTTGCCCAAGAGCACTGAAAACAAATAGGTCAGGTGCCTATGTCCCACCAGTGTTTAACCCCAACCACTCAAACTGAAATTCAACCCTTGACATAAAGAGAGAAAAAAGTCACAGCTCCTAGCGCACCAAAATATCCAGATCCTCTTGCCAAACAGTTCAGCTGCTTCATAAAAAACAGTGCTGGGTCCTATCAGTTTTTGGCCCCACACTAAACCACACTGTACTATTACATCAGGCAGTATTTTTGTTTCTCCTACTTTACCAGAGGTGGCTAACCATGTTAGGCTGATGTCAAGCAGACGGTAGGGCAGGATTTGTCTACTTAACCATACAAATCCATGCTCCAATGCACTGAGAGTTTCAGAACAGTTCAGCAAATTTAAACACATAAACTTAAATATATGTTGGTTACCCTAAATTATTTTTGGTTATGTTTCAGTCAATTTACGCCATGGTTTAAGCAAGGGCTATCCAACTTTTAAGTGGCTTGGGGTCATTGGTGCACGTGCACCCCCTGAGCATGGCGGTGCGCCCCCTGTGAAAAGGCAACGCCGGCAGTGGTTGCCACTCACCACCCCCCACCTGCCGCTGACACCGCTGGCAGTGTCTGCAGGCAGTCTGCGATCACCGCTGGCTGCTGCCAATGCTGCTGGCAGCATCTGCAGGTGGTCGCCGACCATCAGTCAGTGCTCACCAACCCCCCGCTCCCTGCTGCTGACAACGCTGCGGCTGCCTGCGGGAGCTCCCCGCTTACTGCCACCACGTTCCTGCTGCTGACAGCACCGCCACTGCCTGTGGGAGCTCACTGTGCTACCCCAGCCTCCAGGGGCACGCGATATTCATGCTTGGGGTCACAACAGTGGGGCTCATGGGTCACTGGGCCACATGCTGTATAGACATCCCACCCATTGTCCTGAATGCCTGCACCTTGCTCTTCCCCCATTGCAATACACTGCTGCACCACATGGCCCTGGCTTCACCCCAAGGGCCTCACGCTGTGCCACACAAGCCACTGAGGCAGCACAATGAGAAAGCTGGAGGAGGAAGGGGGAGCCTGGAGACTTTAGCCTCTGATGCTTCAGAAGGGATAGGGGGAGTAGCAGCTGGCTTCGAGTCATAACTTAACCACTTGCTGACCACATGCGGTCTGCCAGTTGGACAGCCCTAGGTGAAACCTTGGTAGTAGAACCCATGGTTTTTTTGGATTCCAAAACACACTTGGAACCGGGTGGTTATAATGGATTAGGAGAACCTACCCCTGGCCTTACTTTGAGCAGACTTTAGAGATTTATGGACAAAAGTTTTCTGGATCCAGTATAACTTGTGCGTCAAATCTGCCTTACGTGTGAATGTGTCAGAGCCTGGGTTTCTCTGGGCAAAGAGAAGTGGCTACATGTTACCTATTATGATAGTTAGGGACCAGATTCATGGCAAAAGCACAGTCTTTTAATCTTGCATGTTCCCCCATGCACACCTCTCCTTCCGCCCCCCGGGCTGATTAGTGAAGGACCCTGTCACTCCCTCCCAATCAGCAGAGAAGCTAAAACTGTGGTTTTAAACATGGCGCCGTTTTTGCCTCCCCGACAGTCAGCAGCAAACAGCAGGGCCACCTGGGGCCCCTCGGCCAATCAGTGGTGGGAGGCAAAACCGGCACCATATTTAAAACCAGTTTTTGCCTCCCTGCTAATCAGGAGCAAGCCGCACATGGGGCCCCCCTGCTAATCAGTGTGGGGATGGCATGCAAAATTAAAGGAGCCACGTCCACCACGAATTCGGTAGGTCCCTATTGATAGTAGATGATGTTCGGATGGGGCAAAAAATAAATAAATAAATAAAATGGTAGGATCCCCAAAATGACATATAATAATGGACATGCTACTGAGCAAATACACAGAGATCTGGGTTATTACAGTACAGTTGAAGCAATTCCAGCTGCAGGTAGAAATTTAGGGCTTGGAATAAAAATACAGCAGAATCTAGGTGCTAAATGTATATTTTGTTGGTTCCTTTTCACACTTGGGAAAAGGGCCTTTATTTGGTAGGGCATTAGAACCTACTTCATTTTTCTCTCTCTCAAAAGTAGAATTACGAACAGTGGGGCCAAAAATCAGCAGAATCCAGATATCAAATCTCTTATTCCACTAGTATCAGGCACAAATGCACTAGAGCCACTGGAATAATCTGAGTTGAGAATTCATTTTCTATTTAGACAATAGAAATAGGGGGGCAAGGCACCTAGCAACATCCAGATGTCAAACGTGAATGTGTGTGCAAGGCATGCTCTAGGATACATCGGAGGCGTTTTTTTTTTTTTTTTTTTTGGAAATCTTTGGGGGCGTGTTTTTTTTTTTTTTTTTTTTTTTTGCAGTTAAAGTAGCTACTTTTGTTCCCTTTTTTGTTTCACAGTTTGGGGCTCGAGGCCAAACACTGGTATGTAAATCCAGGTTTTATCTTTTTCCCTGAAAAGGCATGTTGGTGGCAGTCTCTGTGCAATTTTTGCTCATATTTGTAGCACTATCTATATCCTCCCTCAAGTTGCTTTTAATATATAAATGCATTAGGAAATGCTGGATTTCAGATTAGCCTCAATTTAACTCTCAGAATTAAGCCTTTTTCCCCCCCATTACCACCACTGCCTCGTTCTTTACAGAAGGGGCAGAATACTGCTTGTTGCAGACATGACAAACATTTTCTCCGTCTCCTCTCAGGATTATTGTAGGCAGCCCCATCTCAGCACAAACAGATCATTATTAAATTCTCTTCCTCCTACCCCACCCCCGCCACACCACAGAAAAAACAATCACTGTGGATCCTCTGATGAATGCAAGCGGAGAGAAAGATGTACAGAGAAAAGTACACGTGCACCTTGGATGCTACATCTCTCCAATAAATTAAGTATACCTGGAGAAGAGTTAATAAATATGAGTTTTAATAAATTTAGATACAAATATGCAATTTCAGTAAATGATCTCAACAAGAGCTAAAGCATTTCTATCTGCAGACTCTATTTCCTATGATGTATGAAGCAAGATAGGACATAGGTGCAATGAGAACATGTCTGAAGGCATGGGGCAGAGAAACAGAGTCCAAGGATCCCATTCAGAACTAATTCATTGTGACAAGCTGACTGTATTGCCTGTTAGACCTCACCACAGATGTTATCTCCCAGATAATGACAGCCTATTCTCCCTTTCCTTGCAGGATTGTTTCAGCTCTCCTTAGCATCCTTCAGCCACAACAGCCTAATGCCTTTTCAGAAAGCTTCTAACAAAGGCAGAGAGAGAGAGAATGGGTGCAGGCATTTGGTTGTGGGGGCGGACTGGAGCCGGGAGGGGTGAAAGGGAAGAGTTTCTTGGAGAAATCATTTGTCATTTGCTTTTCTTCGTTTTTTTCAAATCAAAATGACCTCCACCATATTTTTCTTTTTCTTCTTCCTCCTATTTTTTTCCTTTTAAAGAAAAAGAGTTCAGTGCCATCTAGTGGGGGAGGGGATCAAACAACTCAATGCACTTCCTTGTACAGGGATCCCAGCTGCTGACTCAATTTATTCAAAGAGCAGGGCTGAGCTTCAGCATTTCCCTTCTGTGTTTGGGAAAATCCTCTCTTTAGATGGCCAAAGGATGAGGTTTAACTCACTGGGGCTCCATCTTGTATCTGTTGCCTATATGAGCCTCCCACCAAAGTCTCTGGGGTTTCTTAATGTACTCATTTAGAGAAGCACTGTTCTGCAGAGCATTTAGCCACTGTAATTACAGGGATTCAACTGAAAAACAAGGACCACAGTAAACCCAAATTAAAAAAATATATATATAGCATGACAGCAGTGCCTAGATCCCAGTCAGGCACTGTACAAACACAGAGTAGGATATGCACCCTGTGTCTCACAGACTTTGGCCTAGTTCTATTTTTCTCATGCATGCACCTCCACTTTGGTCGTGCCCCAGGATGGAAATCTCAGTAGGAAAGTGCTAGGTGCCTACAATCCCTATGCAGTCAGTGGGGAGATTTCAGTACCTCTGAAGAGTAATTCAGAGCTAGGCACCATGGCTCTCTATGCTTAACATAAGGTGAGATAGGTGCCTCCAGAGGGTGTTTCAGAGTGCCCAGACCCATCTAGAGCACTGATTCTCAACCAGGGGGCCACAGCACCCTGAGATCATTTCAAGGGTGACACAAGGTGCCACACAATGTTAGCACTGTTAAGTTTAAAAACATGATTCACAAG